TCACTGGTTAAAAAGTCCGATAAGCCACGCATATAAATATTAAACTGATCTCCATCATAGTGATGATGTCGATAAGCAAGCAATATGATATCAGCATATGTAGTCTACATCACTAATACAATTGTCTAACAAACAGTTTTTTTGCGTATAGATGCTACAACATTTTGATTGCTTAATTTTATAATTTAGACAAACAAGTATAGATACTATTGAGTAAACCACATCACTGATGTTACATAATCACTCTCAATATAATAGCCCCATATAAGATACACGTTTGCCTAACGCTAATAAGTAAACTAATGTCACTATTACAATGAAATTACGGCGATTAATTGGCTGACCTTTTTTAAATGTCACGTGGGTGCACTTATGGAGGTTATACAATACTCAAAATAGCTTGCATGTGTAGAACATGGAGGGTGTGACTTATGGAGGGTGCACTTATGGAGGTGTCTCTGTACTTCTTTTTCGAATATTAATTTTTTTACGTAACTAGCGATGCTAGAGACATGCTTCGCGGAGACTAATGCTATTGGGTATATTTCTTGCAGAGGTTGTTTCATAAAATTGATTGTATTCATATCCTTGTTCGTAAATACTTCCAAAGGCAAGATGGAAATTCTTAATGGAGAAGGTATTACTGTATGTACATTATATTTTATATTATCAAAGTATGTGGCATATAATCGTATGCGTAAGAAGAACACATGATTCTTCTTGGCCTCGGATATGGTAATAGTTAAAGCCATTTTACCCACAAAATATGATACAAAAATTCTGCAATGTTACGAATGTACTGGTTTGGATGTAAAGACAATGTATTGAACAATGCTAAAGCTCAAGAACAATTAATTAAATAACGAAAAAACAACGTATATTATTCATTTGTGAACCTAATCGACCGCCATTTAAACAACTCCAGAAAATATTCGACAGTGGGGTCCGTATTATTATCATTTCACCGACAATCAACTACCGAAAAGGATAATTCGAAATAATGTTATATTTGTCGGCGAAATGATTGCCTCCCGCTCTGTGTATACGGAAATTTTCTCAAAGCGGAAGAAATGTAACAGTGTAGTTGCAACACGGAAAATACGATGTGACTATTTTGATTTATCGAAATATTGTGAGATGTGTTTCTCAGACTATGATAATATCGAACTTTAATACATCTGATTTACGGATACATACCCATTTGAGTTTGGCGTTTTTCGAAGACATCGAGGGCTAATGAATGAAACTTTTAAAGAATGACATGGTTATAATTCAAAAATCAGGCTTATGATATAAAATGATCTGATACCAGATTGTGGGTGTAACAACAATTAGCCGGATGTCATGTTATCATGGTAGAAACAAAATATATTATATAATTGAAAGAGTATCATGTATTGACTGCCAATATACATTAATTGACTGTAGTCACCAGAAATACTTCCCAATCTGTCCAGTCAAATTCATCTGAATCAGACCTTATGGCAGTTTTGTATGCAAATTTTTTAGCAGAAGTAGAAGGACTATATAGATAAAGATTTACAAGACGATTAGCCAGTCTCCGTGTCCGACCAAAAGACAAATCGTCACCACCAAAACAAGGATAAAGATAATTATCTTCCTTAATTGCATACTTATTCTTGACAACAGGACTCACTATGTTATTTTCAGATTTATCTTTATCTAAGGAAAATATAAAACTTTCTGAAGTAGAAACCCATAATGGATCTAAAGGAAGGTCATCGGTAGCTTTCCAAGCTATAGGATTATATCCACCAAGAATTTCTTCTGTATCCAATACTTTTCCAACAGCTACTGTAGGACCTTTCCCAGCACAAATTTGTCGAAAAGAACTACTACTACTAATACTAATATCATCCCTGCTGTGTCTATAAAGTAGAGTCAGCTTATGAAAACAATTATTTGTTCCAGATGCTCTTTGATTTTGTCGATTTGGCTTGTTTGATTCCATAATCTTCCATGAGATCCATGCTGCTTGTTGTTCATTAATAATTACAGAGTCTATGCCTGAGTTAATATCAGCATGTTTGCATTTTTCATCAGAGACATTTATGTTGAATGAATTACTACTAGCTGCTTGACTTTTCCTTGGTGGTAAAACATTTCTGTTGAATGAATTACTACTAGCTGCTTGACTTTTCCTTGGTGGTAAAACATTTCTGTTGAATGAATTACTACTAGCTGCTTGACTTTTCCTTGGTGGTAAAACTGTAAATTTTGGTTTGTAGTCTTTTTTGAAATGATAAAACATTACATCATGACGCAAATCCTTTGTCAATAACTCATCATAAGGAACAATTTTCTCTTCAAAATCTTCAGATGAAATATTGAACAATCTTAAATGAGGAATACAATCAGATATAATTGCCCTAACTTTTGTAAAATCTTCAGATGACCAACTACTTGGTTTATTTATGAGTCCTGGAACTTGCTTAGTAGCCCATTGTATTACTGATGTCCAAATATCAATTTCTTTCATATTAAGCTCATCATGTTTGAGAAGAGTGATCAATGTCTCTTTTGGCAAACTCATTAAATTGTCAGATTTAAAAATAATCTCTGGTGACAATATCATAATGTTGTGGCAATAATCCAAAATCTTGTTTAATAAACTTGAGGATAAGGCACATTTGTAGATTGCAAGAATATTGTGTTTCATCCATTCCTTTTGGTGGTTGAACAAATAGTCTCCAACTGCAATAACAAAGTTGTCTAATTCAAATCTACAAGAGACATCCAAAAGGCTGATCCAGTCTATAACTTGACTTGAATTGTAACTCATTTTTCCTGTGTAAATAAATCTAAAACGCCATGGTAAATCAGTTGGGCAAGTAACTAAAAGAAATGACTGTATATCTAGTTTTAGACATTTACCTGAGCAAAATTTCAAAGACTTCAGACGTTACATCTTCAAATGCCATAATCGTCTGTTGGAACTCTTCCGTATTTTCAACTATCATCTTCTCAAAATATGTGCTTCTTGTACACAATACCACCGCATGAGCAAGAAAGATTTTGTTGTTTGGCTCTCTGCCAACATTGATCGAAACATCTGTATATTTGTTACTTGCATAAAGCTTCTCATAGTCAGATGAAAGATCTGAAGACAAATCAATTGTATCAATTGATGTGGTCATGTCGGGGAATTGTTCACATTGCTTTTGTCAGAATACGGCCATCTAATTAATCGATCAGATATGTGTAACAGTCGTGTAACAATTTATGCATGATTACGTTGAATACTCGAACCGGATACAGAGACACCTCTATAAGTACACGCTCTTGGGACTTGACATTTGTGTGCACTTATAGAACAACGAATAGAAAACCAGAAAACTGTTACACATAATACTTTCTCTTTATACTATCACATCGAAGTCAGGGAAGATTGCACCTATGGGTTGCACTTATGGACTGTATCTTTTGTTTTAGTTGTATAATCTTTATTGGCAGAAAAAAGAAAACATTCCCAGCAACTAATTGTATACGTTAAATCGGACATTAGATCTTTGTTATTCCTATTCAAGCAAATATTAAATACCTTGTCTGAGAAGAGAGAGAGCAGCAGGTTCTTCTCCTTTGCTGAACTTAATCCTTTGGTTAGCGAAAAAAATTTACATCCACAATTACAATTAACAACGCGATTCGTCGTTTCTCAAACTTGAATATTCTAACCTGTTATTAATATTGGAAGAAAGGAGAAAAGATAGAGAAGGCGAAAGAATATCGCAAAGAACCTTTATTCACAATGAGGTGCTTGCTAAATCCCAAAATTTTTTATCCAAGAGAGTAGAAATAACGTAAATCGATGACGTTATCGAATATTAAAATATGTTTGCTGTGATATAATTTTATGTTCACTGTACTTACAATTGATAAATTGTCTCAAGGTTAGGTTAGAGAATTGACAATTAAAGTATGTCTGTCAAGCAGACAAAAATTTTTTTTAAAGTATAGTCAAATACGTACGTAACACTGAAGCAGACGTTAATATTAACAAAGACTTTGGTGTTCTTATGCTAGTAATTTTTTTTTTACGATATAGAATCAACTTGATTATTAATTTAAATTTGTACCAACGGATTGCACTAACCTAACCATGTTTTATTAATCGGAAACTCTTCTACAAATCGTTTCAAATTCATGAGCATTAGTTTTTGTTTTAATACAAAGGCTCGCTTAATATTAAGACCATTCAGACGAGACTTTCTCAATATTGCGAGTATATTTTCGATAAATTTTTTGTCAGTCACTAGAATGGATTAAAATTATTTGTGATCTAAGCTTGTAAGAGACAATGATGATTTGCTTTATTTAGCAGAGCCTGCAAAGATGGTTCCAGTCTTGGCATTAAAATGCTTTTTACACCTAGCATGCATTGTCAGAATGCGGCCTTGTACAGAAAATATTAAGAATTTAATGGCGTACAAAAATTTTCAAGTAATAGCACGTAGTGTACAGTTTCCGATAATTAGCTCCTTGAAATAACATTCAGGGGCCAAACCATCAAATTAAGTACGGTCATACCTCGGTTATGAAGTGGGAGGTATAGTGTTTCAATAGGTAATTTTATTGGCTAATAAAGTCTGTTAGTGACATTGACGTTTAAAGATTCTCCTTCTACTTGTCGATTTTATTATGTGGCCTATTTGTGGATCTCAATCTGGCGTAACCAAATGAAGCAAATGATCGACATATTCTAGTAGTGCAAAATTGAAGTTAAACTTTTTTCCCTATTAACTACTTATCAGGTGATCAAGCTAATCGATCATAAAGATTGGGGAAGGTTATACAAATCTTTAATATTAAGTTTCAAACTTTGATTAGAGAGATCTGTAACCATCGATTGTTGTAGTAATGTGACACTAGCAACTTCATATATAAGGGCATGAGCTGATACTCTAACGAATCTTGCGATCCTCGCAGAGAGCAACCAAAATCTTCCAAATTCACACGTAACAGAGAACTAGTTTAACACGATGCATACAGTCAAGATTGTCTTTGCCATTGTTATGCTTTTTGTTCTCTCAGGCGTCGAAGCCCATTTTGTGTTGCTTAACCCACCTCCTCGAGGACCTCTTAATGAGGATTTGCTCAGTGATTCTCCGTGCGCCTCGTACAATACCGTTAACACTTCTGCCATCACAAGTTTCCCTCTAAGTAAGTTGAATTATGTGATTCTTCGCCAGTGATAGTAATATCATTTTCAATAATTGATTGTCTCTCGTGACTATATTGACAGATGGACAAGCAACCTCTAAGTTTGAAGATGGCGACGGAAATCTTGTTTACAGATATGCTCCCAACAGTAACGCCACTTTCACCAAAGTTTCTGGTAAAGCTTCTGTTGAATGGTTTCAATACTATATATATCGCAATATGCTACTTCCATATAGAAACTAATAATTCGCACATATATGTCATCTCCCCATCATCCACAGGAAATGTTACGCTTAGTGCGACTGATACTTATCCTAAACAAATCACTACGCAAGTGGACTTGACTTCGGCTGGTGCTAAGGCTGGCGATAAAGGTGTTCTGCAGGCCTATTATGTCTCCAGCGACGGGAACGAAACTTGGTATCAATGTGCAGATATTAGCCTCGTAGCTGCTGCGTCTTCAGCACCTACAATCGCTAGTGGCGCCGTTATGTTTTATACGATTCTTGCTGTAATTTTGATGACAAACGGCCATGACTACAAATTTTAAGGTCAAAATCCAGAAAATGTATGATAATTTGTTGCCACATGAGGATTACGTTTTCTAGTCCCCATTATGTCTTGGCATTTTTCCCTAATCAAATACTTGGAATATTGAGTGCAACGAGACAATTAGTATGCCTATAATAAAAGCCATTTCAATGAGATGGGTATATAAGCAATCTGGTTAACACAAATTATCAAACATGCCTCTTGTTGTTAAGCGAATCTTTTTGACAGAAGCAGTTATGGTGTTGTATTGTCTAGAAACTTGGTAAAAGCTCTCTTATGCTTTTACTTGCTAATAGGCGTCGTAATCGCTTGAACCGTGTGAAATGCTATTATTTCATCTTGATTTTAGATAATCAAACATAGCGTTTACTTAAATCAGACCCGGCCCATTAAATGAAATGCAAGACATTCATCTGTCACACATCTATAGTATCATCAGGGGGTCGTTTATCTCGCGTACAAATAAATTAGCGTCACTCTAAGTGGTGATTCTTAAGATCGTTAGAATTTGTCAACAAGAAAAACTTTTCTAATTAACAATTTGTCTATACCCCACTTCCCCAAAAAGATTTATGAAATAACACTACAACCAAAATAAGTCTTCTTGTAATACGTGACTCGTAAGTAAAGGAATGCTGTGAGATTTATTGTGACATTCCGTATTGGTGTGCCAACTCTACATTCTCCTCAATTACATCTAAAATAGGACCACTCACAAAGTTACCTCGCTTCCGTCCCCTACTTCTTACCTATCGTATAGCCTTACATCTCAACTAGTTATTGTAAAAAGTCCTCCCCAGAACCAAGTCTTTTTTCCATATGCCTCGCACATGTACATGCTCTATTTTTAATTGATGTATATTTTGGAGTTATGGTGGCGTATATAGTGTTTAGCCCTTACATATTAATATGTACGAAATTGTTTTAATTATTCTGTGGATGTCACGCAATTCGAGAAAGACCTGGCATTAAGTAATCAACCCATCCGGAATAAATTTAGATAAGCCAATTCACCGATCATCTAAATTAATTCACTCATTCAACAAGTGGGCTAGGGATATTCGGATACTTCAGATAAATTGCACGTAGACAAAAGATCATTGAGAGGGAACTGAATATTTGTATAAATTAAGTCGGTCGCCAATCAGAAATAAAACTTCAATTCAAGCCTTAGTAGATATTTTCTCGATACTGATACGTTTCCATAAACGATAGGCTCGTGGTTAACCTTTATACAAGCTCAGCTTGCTACGCAAATGTAATTATTGCAGGTATTGTAGGTGATAATTTACTTTGGGTATTCGTACAGTTCGAACTACTTGGTTACATTCTTGCCATCTACCAATAATTCACTTTGTTCACAGTGAATCCATTCCAAGAAAACAAATATTGAATTGTGTTGTTTTTGAGCTAGCATGCTTGTCCTAAAACAGTCTACCTGAATTCTAAATGTCAATTGGCTTGCACATCTAGTAAACAATCACAAGTCCACGTATGCTTTTGAGATGTTGGGGTGATCAAGAAGATTCTCAATGGAGGTACTGAAAGTTTTTTCCTCGCATTCGTCTTAATGTCCCATCGTCTAGGCGTTCGGTTAACGAATATACTTGACGTAATTACCTACCTTTGCAATTGATTGCCGACATCTCTCGACTGGCGGCTCTAATGTTTTCCAGTTTGATGGCAAGTTAGACGCGCTTAGGTTTAACAACTCTTCTTCTGTAATAATTTCGGATCAAATGTGTCTATGATACGCCACCAAATTGCACCAACAATAGAAAATTTCATGATCAGTTACTTTGCTTATATATTATTGTGAACTTACGTTTCTGCTACTTGGGGCAGTGACTCAAATTCGGTTGGGGTGACAAGATGTTTGGTGATTTTTTCGAGCCAGTCAGGAATTTGCTCTCTAAACTCCCAACTTTTCTCAAGATTATGTATGTTCTTTCGGTGAATCCAACAAAATGCCAAAGGAACAAGTTAATTGCATGATATAAAAAAAGAATAGAATATACATATAACTTACAACTTGTTTATCATCAATATCCTCCCCAACATCTTCGGAGACGTTGACATTGCCACCCACAACGTTAACATTATCTTCTGGTTCATGATCTTCCAGCTTCCAGCTTCTTTAAAATCAACGCTTTCTCCCTAGTATAAATTAATATTTAGGACATTTGGCCACAGCTGAAATCATAGTTTGACGTGCTCACGCTAGCTTTGTGGACCGTGCTTAGATTTCAGTAATGAGCTCCGTCACCGCCATTTATACTCACTGAAGTCGCCATACTAAATTTCTACTTACCTTCGAGGTACTCATATTCAGTCAGTCATATCTTCATCGGTTTTCATCGATATTTGCAATGGGTAGTACTTCCATCGCCAATTACGAAATCCTGTAGGAGAGAGATTTAGCATGGGATATGTAGAAAGCAGACGTCAAATAAATAAGCTTTGTACGGTCAAGTAATGTTTGCGAGTAAGAGCAGTTTACACTGACACGAAAGCCTCTATCTGCTCTTTACTGAATGAGCGTCTGGCAAGGACATTTTTAACACACTTACGGATCTTCCAATTCGGAAGTGAAGCACCAAGTTCGCTAGCATGTTCGCTTAATTTGGATAGGCTGGACTTTAAGATCTGTCCTAGTTTTGGGTTTTCGGGCCTTTGAACCAGTTGCCGTAGTAGTAATTGATAAGCCTAACCGTCCATGCAATGGGGTTTTTTCTGCGTCATACAGTGGGATCTCCCTAAGTACAGCACCGACGGGACCATATGGCCAAATCAGACTTGCATTTATAGAGAGTTTGCATTTATAGAGAGTGAAATACTTAATGGTCTTGTAATAGTAATGTAAGCTCGGAGCCTGCATTTTATTCGAACTTTAATATTAATAATCCACGTGCCTAATGTCAGCTGATGATAACTTTATTTGCCGATCGTTTATATTTTTTTGTTAATTAACTGGAATTATTATTATGGAATTATACGAAGAAATAGAGAAAAGAGAGAATGCCATCAAAATTATTGAAATGCATACTGCTGGTGAACCAACTCGAATTGGTATGTATAATAAATTATTTGACATACGGATAATAATAATCGGATAATAATAACAATAATACTAATAATAATAATAACAACAACAATGTAGTTGTGAAAGGATATCCGCCGATACTAGGGTCGAACGTACTCGAGAAACGCCGATACGTTAAAGATAACTTGGATTGGATACGTAAGAGGTAACGAAAGTATCAATAGACTCGTTGTTGTCACAATGCAGAATCTCATGTGCATTAAAATCCCCCAATGCTTGTTAACACGTTGGATAGGATACTTTTTGAACCTCGTGGTCACAAAGATCAATATGGAGCAATTATATTGGGCGAGAAGACCAATACTGAAGCGGACGTTGGCGTGTTGTTTATGCACAACGGTTAGCGAATTTACTCATTTATGCTTGTATTGATGACTTGCATCGAATACGCTCATTCACATCCCCGTTCGCCCGATTGAACCATGTATAAGCAGAAGGGTTAGTTATCGTCATAACGCATAATATATGTACAAGAACAATTCCTGTAGAGTCTAATATATATTATTTCTTCTATTATAGCTACTCAACGATGTGTGGCCATGCAACAATTGCCCTCGGTCGTTTCCTAATCGACAGCGATCACTTTGATCCACAGCCTATACCTGATGCATCTGGCAGAGTTACTGTTAAAATAGAATGTCCCTGCGGCATAGTACCAACTTTCATCCATACGTACACGACAAGTTCCGGTCAGCTACGTTCCAACCCCAATTTTCCCGTGTCGTTCCAAAGCGTACCTTCGTTCTCCGTGGCTATAGACTGTGTATTAGAAATTCTCGTCAATGGACAGCACAAAAACGTTAAATTTGACATTGGATTTGGAGGAGCATTTTATGCCATCGTTGCTGCTTCAGAGTTGGGATTCGACAATAGTTGTCTGGACTCGAACGATCTTTCTCTGATTGTTAAAGCTGCCAATGATTTAAGTAATCGTGTGAGACAATCCAAGTATGTTGGTAACATTCGTCACCCTAGTTCAGAACACAGTGAGCTCAACTTTTTATATGGGACTATAGTTACTGACGGTAGAGATGGTAGTGAAGATGGAGGAAGTAGGAACTTGTGCGTGTTTGCTGATTGTGAAATAGATAGAAGTCCTTGTGGATCAGGTGTATCAGCTAGAATGGCTCTACTGTATGCGAAAGGTATATTGGGAATAGACAAGACATGTTATTATGAGAGTGTGCTTGGTGGGGATGGGTTCACAGGTAAAGTTATTAGAGAAGTAGCCATTGGTGATGTCGATGAAAGTGAAAAGGAAAACTTGAGAAGAG